TTTCCGTATGGCCGAACCGTAAGCAATTGTGACTATTTTATCACATTTTTTACGTAAGTACCTGGCATATATGGTTGACACAATTGTCAGCATTAACAGTACAGTTCTGTCCGGTGTATCCTTTAGGGCAGGAGCAAGTAGTGGCTTTGTTCTTGCAGTTAAAGCAGTCTTTGTAGTGGCGGTTTTATGTGCAGTTGTAACAACATTTGAAACAGAATTTTTAGCAATATATTTTTGTGTGGCCGAATCGTAAGCAATTGTAGCAACTTTATCATATTTTTGCACGTACCTGGCACTTAAGATTGACACAATCATCAGCATTTATGGTACAGTTCTGTCCACTATACCCTTTAGGGCAGGAGCAGGTGTAGTGGCTGTGGTGGTCCGTGCACGTCGCTCCGTTGGCGCAAGGGTTGAACTAGTGGCCATATTTCTTACAGTTGTAACAGTCTGTGTTTCTATGTCACAACAATTTTTGAAGCATTTTTTTACGCCTTACCTGACACATATGATTCACACAATCGTCAGCATTGACAGTACAGTTCTGTCCGCTGTATCCCTTAGGGCAGGAACAAGTGTAGTGGCTGTGGTGGTCGGTGCACGTCGCTCCGTTGGCACAAGGATTGAATTCTGACGTGCAGAAGGGAATCTTCTTCTCGCAGAATTCACCTGGAAATAAGTTATTCATATTAATGTATTATTTATTGCATAAATCTTATGGTAAACATACAGATGTTAGAATGTAAGAAACTACAGTTCGGGGTATTGCAATATGAGACGAGAGGACGCAACATTTATATTTCAGCTAACTTACCCATGATACCAGGGGCGCACTTAAAAGAATACCCCTCCAGGTGGTCCACACAAGTAGCGTTGTTTTGACAGCGATGGTTGGCCTATCTATCTATGATATTGTATAACATCTACAACTCTAACTTACCCATGAACCCAGGCGCGTACTTGCAAGAATACCTCTCCAGATGGTCCACACACGTAACGTTGTTTTGACACCTATGGTTGACCCAGCTACTTTATTATATTGCTCAATAAGTTCGAATCCCAATCTAAAGAGTTTTCGCTATCGGTCGCTAGTTTTCCTCCCCATATAAAGCTAGTATTGAAATTTAAACTTACCCATGAAACCAGGAGCGCACTTGCAAGAATACCCCTCCAAGTGGTCCACACAAGTGGCGTTGTTTTGACAGCGATGGTTGGCGCAGTCGTCGATGTTCACTTCGCAACGGACGCCCGTGTAGCCCGGCTGGCAGGAGCAACTGCAAACACAAATACAAATCTTTAGAACCCTCTGATTCTAATAACAACAATAACAATCTTTGTAGTGATCTGATTCTTATTATTATTGTAATAATAATTATCACATAATTATATATAAGTATTCAGAATCAGATCGTTAGTAAATTTCGTGATGACTAAATACCAATGCGTTTAAAATAAAATTTAAGGACACCATTGGCACAATCACTGCCATATGCGCATAACGTCGTCCGTATTGACGTTGTTTAGGCGCTGCGCTATCGCAGCGTTAGAAAAATTCGAATATCACATAAATACGACGAAGCATGCCCAACGGTCTGTCAAACCGTTTGACCTGCTATTAAATTGTGTAACTATTGTAAATAAGTATTTTATTTCAACTAGAATACTATGGAGTTCTATCAAGAAATCACAACACAAAGTATAAAATAGACTCCATAAAGTTCCTGACTCCACAAAATCCCAACTCAATACTAACTGGAATCTCCCTAGCACCCTACAGGCGTCTTGTTGGTAGCATTAGAAAGACGCATGTAGACCGCCGTCAAGACGCCATATAAAATTTCAATGCTACCAACATGACGCCATAGGAACTTTAAGACGAAACGCACTTTACTGTATTGACCCGCAAATAAGCCATATTTGACAGATGTCAAACCCATGCTAGAAGACAACAAAGATAAATACACCATAAGTCATAGAATTGGCATGGTTTTGACTATCAAATTAGAGTGGCTCGAGACTAGACGACTAGATGACATGTCGACAAAGAAAAATAGACCACAAGACATAGCATTAACGGAATTTTAAGAAATTTTTACGCCTGTCAAAAATAGCTTATTATAGTGTGATAAAGATAAAAGAAAACTTACTGGAATCTTCCTTCTTCCAACACCCTACATACTCCATTGGCACACGGACTTCCATAGCAAGCGTCGATCTCATATTGACAGGTGTCACCGTGGAAGCCGCGCGCGCACTTGCACACGAAACCGCCGCTGGGGGTTGCTGCACACACGCCGCGGTTCGCGCACGGATTCGTGTAGCACCGGTCGCATTTGGTGACCACGTCTGATGGCGGGTCGCCTGTGGAGGAGAAATTATAATATTATGTACAGTCTGTCTAAAAAGTACTATGGTGCGTTTCATCAAATAGTTCCTCTGGCGTCATGTTAGTAGCATTGTACTATAAGGACGCCTTCTTAATTCGAACGGGTTATACGGTGACCATGTTGAGTCGCATGTACCTAATATTATTTAATTTTGCAATTTCATACAAAGTAGCGCCTTCATTTTTAGTCTGGACTTTTTAGACACTCTATGAACATAAACTTTACATAATAAATGTAAAATAGGTAGGTAGTACAACTTGCGCAGATACAGAGTGGACCCGAATTCGCAACATTATTGGTAAAATCCTGCTCTTGTGTCATAAAGTATTATTCACTTGTTATACGTATCAAACACAAGGATAAGACTTAGTACCTACCTAGACACTGTCTATAAACCTAGTGTTTAGTTACAATGTCGTGCGTTATCATGTCGTACAATATATTGTTGAGCATTATTATGTTGGACATTATCAACGTCGTGCACTGATGGTTCCCTCTATATGCATTTACAAATGCATGTTTTAATACTCCACTTACCTCTACAGACAATAACGCTAGACTGGGTACTTAGAATAAGCTTGTCTTTAATTGGCGGGAAGACCGTGCATTTAGCAATGACAGTAGGTATTGCCAGTTTCTTCATATAAGCCAGCACTATTATTAAGATACTGTGCCGTACATTGTCATGTCGTGCAATGTAGTGTCGGGTATTATTATTGTCACGTAATGTTGACTCTATTCACTCACCTCTACAAACAAAAGCACTAGATTGCGTACTCAATATAAAACGCAATCTAGTATGAGGACCGCGACTTTTTCAATGCCAGGATTGCCAGTTCCTACCATATTCGTCATTACTTTTATTAAGATACTGTGTGGTGGGTACTTACATTGTCATGTTGTGCAATAAAGTGTCGAGTATTATCATTGTTACCTAATGTTGACTCTATCTATTCACTTACCTCTTCAAACAAAAGCACTAGATTGCGTGCTCAGTATAAGCTTATTCTTAATAGGCAGGGGGTCAACACATTTAGCAATGCCAGTTTCTACATATTCGCCAACACTTTTATTAAGTCACTGTGTCGCAGGGGCGTGCAGTCCATAAAGGCATAAAAGCACTGCCTACCCTGCCATTTTCACCCGCTAGTAATAATTTAATTTATTTTAGAACAATAATGTAACGTAAAACGTAACGTAATAAATGGCCGTCTTACTTTGGCGCCTTTATTTCGCGCTACTAATCCCCGCATATCTCTCAAGTACGATATGTCAGTCAAAATAAGTGGACTCGATCGCTGCCTCATGAACTCGCCCGATAGCACTAGTATGAATGTGTGAATTCGCGTAATTACACTGTAAGTGTGAGCTCTCTACACTCACACAAAGCTGCAAAATGTTAAGTAGTGTGCGTGAAAATGCAGCACCTACTCCACAGATTATACATTATTAGTAGCATTTTCGGCAACATTCCATTTGCATACGCTAAACAAAACGCAAAACAATGCAACAAAACGCAATTAAAAAGTAAAATGGCCATAGACAACCGCTCGCTACGTGCATGGGGGGTTTTGGCGCGTATAATCCGACCAATTTGTTGATATCTTGGTTTCAAACATTTATTTGGGAAATGAGATTCATTCAGGATTGAAAGTATTTTATTAAGATTTAGGTTAGAAAACGCAAACTGTTGTTTGTTTACTTATTGTTGTCGTTGTTGTTTAATGCTGAAAAAAGTAGTAAATATAGATATTTTTAAATGTGTTTGACTAATAACGGTGCGATTCTTGTTAAAAACAAGTTGACTGAAAACAACCTGATGAAGTGATGACTATGTTTACAAGTTTACAAAAAGTTTCTGTAACTTTTAATGTGTAAGTGTGATGTGATGTGATAATGATAGAGGCAGATTGTACAATTAGGATGGAAAAGGCGCTCAGAAAAGGTAACACGACTTGTATTCATTTAACTTCTTCCGACAGATGCGGCTGGCTCGGGTTGTTAGTGTGCATAGTTTGTTTACCTACTTTGTTACAATGCACTGCACCGCACATTTTTGCCGTTCGTCTCAGTCGCAATTTGATGCGAGCCATAATGAAATCCAGTTTTTGCATGGGATGGTTTCTTATGGATCCAGTAAAACGTGCAATGGAAAATGAAGCGGTGCGTATAACACCTAAGATCCGCCTCAGTTCATATCTACTGCCTACCCAGACATGAAACCCTGTGCACGCCACTGCTGTGTCGTACATTGTCATGTTGTGTAATACTATAGTGTCGAGTGTTGTCAAAGTTGCGAAGTATTGGCTCCTTACATTTTAATATTTTACTTACCTCTACAAACAAATGCGCTAGATTGCGTGCTCAGTATAAGCTTGTCCTTCATAGGCGGAGGGTCAGCGCATTTTGCGATCCCTGGTTCGACGTATTCGCCCGCGCTTTTGACCCATTCTGACAGCCAACGGGCGCTGCAGTCGCAGTATAGCGGATTGGAGCCTAATGCACTGAAAAGTAAAGAAAATTGCTTATTTCGTTGGCAGTTATTAAGATACGAATTAATCGTCGCTTTGAGACGAGCATCAAGAGGTTGAGAAATTCGCCAGGGTCAGTTAG